CCGGGAGGGAGCCTTCGCCCCGCCCGCCCAGCCGGCTCGCCTCGGGCGGGAGATCCTCCAGGGCTTTTTACCCAGCGGACATCCAAGCCCCCGACAGTGGCGTGGGCGCCCCGGCTCTGTCCCTGACACCAGAGCCCCAGCTCTGCAAACTGCCTGGACTCAGCGTCTTCCCCAAAGAAAAGCAAACAGTAACTGATGCGCTCCGGGCTCGCGCATCTTTCCAGCCTGGGCTCTCGGGGCTCTTCCCCAGCCAAACGCTGTGCATCCCACGCCTATCAGACGTGCCCCAAGGCGCCTGCTTTCTCCCCACTTCCATCTTCCCTCTCCCTCCTCCCTCCCTTGGCCTGGTTCACCTCACACTCAACAAGGTAATTTCCACCCGAGGAAAGTCTTTGCAAAAGATGCTTGCCCTTGTCCAAGTTTTCTGTGCCCAGCTTATCACAAGATCACTATCTACTCAGAAAAAGGAGAAAAGAAAAAAGTCTCTATGGTGCCTGCACCCAGGAAGCCTCTAAGTGCCATTATTTCTTGCCCCAGGAGTTCTCTGGATTCTTCAATAAAAGAAAGTTGCATGAAGTTCCTTAAGTACAGTATCAACAATCCCCTACAATAAACACTTTCAAATAATACGAGCTAATCGTTATTGAGACCATGTGCCAAGCAATCTTCTGAGTATGGCACATGAATTCTCTCCCATCCTAACAGCAACTCTTTGAGGTAGGAACCACTATCCCCAATTTACAGATGGTGAAAGAAAAAGTGGAATGATTTCCCAAAGTCAGGCAACTCTTAAGTGATGAAGCCAAAAACTGAACCATAACTCCAAAGCCCTGAACTGGATCATTATGTTGGCTTCCATAACTAAATATTATATGCTCTTAAAACGGCCACTTTAATCAATATGAAAAGCAATGATGAAGAGTCACAAAAGGAGGTGAAGGCAAAGTCAGAGTGAAAGAGAATAAAGAAGAGTCGAGAATGGAGAACTACCGAGAGGAAAGAAGAGATAGAAGTGGGGGGAAAGCAATTTCTGTGTAACCAGGAGGCTGTGGGATCAGTAGGTCAGCTTTTTCTCAGTGGCCAGGTGTTGTTCAACACACACACACACACACACACACACACACACGAGCTTTCTCACTTAGAAAGCAGGACTCAACTCTCCCATCATTGTGTACATGATAAAAATTTTAAAAAAGACAGTTGCTGATGGTGTGGAAAGAGAAGCAAATGATCATGCCCTTACAAAACCTTGACTACTAGGCTCTCTGGATGTGATTTCAGTGCCTCTGAAACAAACAAGAAAGCTTCCTTCCAGATGCTGACTATTGCAACATAATATTCTCTGATAAGTGAATGAGAGAGATGGAGGAGGGAAGAAAGAGAGAGAGAATACTTGAAACTTGCAACCACCATGAATCCAACCTGGCAGAGAAGCAGGGATGATAATGACCCATCGTGTCACCTATATCATTCCTAGCTCTGTCTTATATCCCACCATTGCTTATCTTGTTTTATATTGCTCTGCTTGCTGCCTTAACTCTTTTTCAGAACTAGGCAGTGGAGCAGAGTGGTTCAGGGCCTGGCTCTGGAGTTGGAGCCACTTCCTGCCTGTGTGCCCTTGAGCCAGTAAGTTACTTAGCTTCTCTGTACCTCAGTTTCCCCCTTTGTAATCAGGGAGTAATAGTATTGCCTCATAGAGTTCTGATGAGGATTAAATGACAAAATACATGCAAAGATATCAGATTTGTGCTTAGCTCATAGTCAAGTATTTAAAATAAATTTTGCCCAGTGTGGCTCAGTTGGTTGAGTGTCATCCCATGCACCCAAGAGGTCACCGGTTGGATTCCCAGTCAGGGCACATGTCTGGTTTGCAGGCTCGATCCCCAGTAGGGGGAGTGCAGGAGGCAGCTGATCAATGTCTTTCTCTTTCTCCCTGTCTCACTCTATAAAATCAATAAAAACATCTTTTTAAATTTTTTAACATGTTTTAAAACTAATTAAAAAGAAATACTTGCACTCATTCTCCTATTGTAAGAGTTTTACCTGTATAGAACTTACTCCAAGTGGAATTACTGGGTCAAAGAGCATGCATGTTTTGAAGGCGCTAATTTTCACATCAATTGAAGTTGATCCTCCAGTCTTCCCATGAAGGAGTAAGTTCATCCTGTTGTGGAGATGAGTGTTATTACTTTTACCAGTGCTGCGTATTATTACTTTTAAAAATCCTTGCTGGAAAAAAAAATAAAACATACATTAAAAAAATGTCTTGCTGATTTCGTTTCTCTCTCATCGATGTTTCTGGCTCTCTATCTCTCTCCCTTCCTCTCTGTAAAAAATCAATAAAATATATTTTTTTAAAAAAATGTCTTGCTGATTTTACAGGCAAAAAAGAAGGATCATCTTACTGTCATTTCAATCTACATTTTGTTGATAACTAATGAGACTGAACTTTCTGACCAAAACCATTACTATTAGTTATTTACCATTGATATTTCTTCTCTCTTTCCATCTTGTGCAATTTTCTTATTGAGGTCTTTGTGTTTTTTCCTTTTATCTATGTAAATAAGATAAGGAGAAAATTTTAAAAAAGAAAAGGTTAGGGACTCTATTTTTTTTCTGCCGTCAGTCTGCTGAGAGAGGAGAAGACAGGGTAATAGAGGGAAGTAATAGTCACAGGCAATGGAAAATGGGCGACCTGGAACACATAAGTGGATGCTGGGGTCAGTGTGTGGGCCCTGCAGAGTGACCTGCCTGGATGTGTAATTCTAAATGCAAAACATAATGCACGCAGTTGACATCTCCATAATCTAACTTTCTCCTCTTATTCTTTAAATTAGGAACAGTTCAGGAAAAGAGTTAAACATTCAGTTTTGCTCTTTAGGTTGAAATAAAATTCCTTGAACTACAAAACAACTTTAAGAACATAATCAAACACTTCTCTGTTGCAAAGATTATAGAAGAGTAATTGTTTTTGTAACCATAGAAACCCAGCTGATGCCATGGCTACATAACCAACTTGCATAAATAATTTTTAGTAAACCAAGTCAAACAAATCACTATGCCTCCTAAAATCATTTCATTTTAGAAATGTGTTCTCTCGTTGCCAGTGGAGGAAAGTTAGATGATTTGGCACTGTGTTGCATGCCCAGCTAAACTTCTTAGATTTTTTGACATTTTCTTTTTTTCTGCTATTTTTGAAACTGTTTTTACTCCTTGCCCAAGGATATGTTTCCATTTATTTTAGAGAGAGAAGAAGGGAAAGAGGAAGAGAGAGAGAGAGAGAGAGAGAGAGAGAGAGAGAGAGAGAGACTCCCATACAACTGGGGATTGAACCTGCAACCTTGGTATGTGCCCTAACCAGGAATCAAGTCCACAAAGGGATGATGCTCCAACTGACTGAGCCACCTGACCAGGGCTTGAAATTTTCTAATAAGTACCAAGCACATGTCATAATAGTTCTCTACTCTGTCCTCTGATTTCTCCTACTGAAGTTCCTGGATATACCAGCCTATTTTCATGAGGATACTGAGAGACCAAAAGATGCTATGCTCTGTCCATGGCCACATGCTAGACAGAGCTACACAACCTCATTGACAATTTATTTCAACTACAGTCTTTGGGTGATTCAGAAAAACCCCTTACAAACTCTTTTTTTTTCCCCTTACAAACTCTTGATGTTCAATTTAGTTAATGGATGTAAAGATTAATTCCAACCTAATTCGTCATTTTCTTCAACTTTTTAAAAAAGATATCATATCTTGAATGCTAATCTATGATAAGCCCTGTTCTAAGAATTTTTAAAGCATTTTTAAATTGATTTTTGGAGAGAAAGGAAGGGAAAGAGAGAGAGACATACATTGATGTGAGAGAGAAACATCAATTGGCTGTTTGAACCTGCAACCTGGGTATGTACCCTGATCTGGAATCGAACTCGCAACCCTTTGGTTCATAAGACAATGCTCCAACGAGTCACACTGACCAGGACACTTCTCTGTTGCAAAGATGTAGAAGAGTAATTATTTTTTTGTAACCATAGAAACCCAGTTGATGCCATGGCTACATAACCAACTTGCACAAATAATTTTTAGTAAAACAAGTCAAACAAAATCACTATTTCTCCTAAAATTATTCCATTTTAGAAATGCTTTTTTACATTACATTTTAAAATTACATCTTACATATATTAACTTATAAGAATGCTAGGAAATTGACAGTAATCATAATATGACAATAATAATATTCCTATTTTACATGAGGAAATTAAGGCACAGCGAGGTTATGTACCTTGCCCAAGGCCTCACAATTGGCAAATGATGTTCAACTGTTCATATAAGCTTCTCTCCTAAGCCATGTACTCCTCTCTCACTTTCTACCACTTCCTCTTCTATCCCCAATGTATATCTAAGAATTACAAGTCATCTTAAGCAATGCAAAATAAGTCAAGTAAAATATCATTGATGATTTTTGTTCATGTTTCCAAACATCACTCCTGAACCAGTTAGTAAAAATGAAAATTGAAATAAACCATTGAAGCAATGGGAGGTAGCAAGGGCGTGAGGGGTAGG